TGTGTGTGTGTGTGTGGCCAGCTCAGCCCAGCAGGGGGCGGGACTGGCTGGCATGTGGTGCTGGAGGATTGAACCGCGGTCCCTGTGCTTTGTCAAGCTTGTTTTTTTTTTTTTTTCCAAGCTTGTTTTAAGTAGGTTCTTTAGACCACTGAGCCATCTCTCCAGCACCTCCCCCTCCCCCAATCTTAAGTAAACCAAATCTAGCCAAAGCGGAGATTAAAGATCAAAACAAAACCTCTAAAATTGTTGGTTTCCAGGTTAGGCGGTTCGTCGGACAATCGCAGCCCTGCTATCTTAGGGGCACTGCCAGAACCCTAGTAGGCGTCAAGAGCTCTAACGTCCTCCATCTTGGAAGTTTTATTTAAATCCCCTAGCTCCCGCCGAGCCTCCCGCTTCAGACCGCGGAGCATCCCGCCCGACCGGAAGACTGTGTGGCGTTCATCCCCTAGGCAACGACTGTGTCGCGGGGAGTGACGGGAATTGTAGTTTACTGGGGCCCAGAGTGCCCATGCACAAGCGCAGAGGGGCTAACAGGAACTACATTTCCCTGGATCCCTGGAGGAGCCGCGGGGGCTGGGGTGGGGTCTTTCGGGGGCGGAGCCTGTCTGGGGGCTGGGCTCCGTTCGCCAAGCTGATTCTGGCGGCTTATTCGTAAAAGCTGGGTGACGCTGCCGCTGGTTGTGGTGGAAACTTGGGCTGAGGCCTCACGGAGCGGTAATTTCTGGGCGAGAGTTGCCAAAGACCAAGAGGTTAGGGGTGTGGCTGGGACTCTGCTCGGCGGGTGCGGGGTGCGGGGTGCGGGGTGCGGGGTGCGGGGTGCGGGTTGTGGGTTGTGGGCAAAGGGCGGCCTTGTGAGTACCCGAAGCGCGGGAAGCGGCTTCTCAATTCTGAGGCGCCCAGGCCTCTGTGCGCCGTGCCTGAGGCGTAGTCTGGAGAGCGGTTTCGTTCCCGCGGTTGCGCCGGCTTGCTCAGCCTCTTCAGGGCTCCTCTGCTGAGGCGACCAGTGAGCCGTGGCTTTTCGTCTGTTCGAGTCCGACAGGTCTCGCAGGCCAGAGACTTGCTCACCTAGTCCGAATAGAGCAGTGTGCCATCTGTCCACTTTCCTCCTTCACCACAGCAGGACATTCCTTGTCCCTTGCTTCAAAGAACGTTCAAACAGCACTCCGGGATGGTTTCTTTTTCATCCTCGACCTCCCTTCCCCCTTGCATTTCCTGTTCCCTTCTTCCCCCCTTACCTCCCTCCTCTCTTTTTGAGACAAGATTTAACTAGGCAGTTCAAGCTGGCCTCCAACTCATCAATCCTCCTGCCTCGGCCTTTCCAGTGCCGGGATTAATGGTGTGCACCACACCGCCTGGCGTGGATTGGGTATTTTAAAAACAAAACAAAAGATTGAAAAATCAAGCTTGCGTATTGTCTTTAAGTGAAGAGATTTGTTTAAGTGGGGGAAAAAGGTTAAGTATATCTCAACAAAGACAAGAACCTTCTACATGAGGTACTTATTGAGGAAGGAGGGTGGTG